GGGTATCAGGATAGCATTCATTCATGCAAAAAAAATGTATTTATTAAGCACCTATTCAGTGCTATTCTGAAAGATGCCGAAATATTAAGAGAAGATCCCTACCTGGCAGAAGCAGAGAGGTATTATATCAGTGCACAAACAACTAACTACAATGCAAGACTGGGTGTGATAAATGTCCCAAGATTAATAGTCTAGCTGTTACTCTTTACAACAGCCAAGAGTTGGAACCAGCCCAAATGTCCATCATCGGATGAGTGGATATGGAAAATGTGGTATATCTACATGATGGAATACTACTCAGCTATAAAAACGAATGAAATACTCCCATTTGTAACAACATGGATGGACCTTGAGAGAATAATATTAAGTGAAACGAGTCAGGCAGAGAAAAAGAAATACTACATGTTCTCACTTATTGGTGGGAGCTAAAAATAAATAAATAAATTCACTCACACACACACACACACACACACCACAAAAAAAAAAACCGGGGGAGAAGATATAACAACTACAATTTTTTTGAAGTTGTTACAACAAGCAAACGGAAAGGACATTCTTGGGTGGGAGGGGGCAGAGGGAGGAGGGAGGGAGGTTTCGGTGATGGGCCATAATAATCAACCACACTGTATATTGACAAAATAAAAACTTAAAGGAAAAAAAAATAGTCTAGCTGTTATCTCCCCATCTTCCCTACTTCTCATGTGCTAAATCTCCACATGCATATTTGATTCCTATATGAGTTTCACTCTTCTCCCCTCCAAAGGTTAATCTTGTGCTTTTAATTCCACCCTCACCCCTAAACCCATAGAATATTTCATTCTCTCAGTTATTCTCCTCTCTTCTAGGTTCAGTATCATGCTCTCTCCTCTGCCTAAAAATATGCACGTTTCCCCAGTTTAGTTTTTAAAAGGGCACATTTTTCTTTCCACCAGTCACAGGTTTCTTCAGGCAACAGACTTAACCTGTTGCTTCCACTGTCTCACCACCAAGTGTTGTTATCCATATTATAAAATCTGACTTCTCCCCCCTCACCTTTACTGAAATAGTATTGATACTTTCACAGGTTATGAACAGTCTCTTAATGGTCAAATCCAGTGGTCTTTTCTAACTTCTCTTTGGCTTTTGTAACCACCGACACTACTGACCACACTGTTGACCTTTCTACCTTAGCACTTGTGACCCCACACCATCCTGGCTTTCCTCCTACATTTATGGTAATTCACTCTGTCTCTCCTCCTCTCTACCCACCTGCAAATAGTGCTCTTCAAGGTTCAGGCCCTGCCCTCCGTTTTTTTCTGGATAGTCTCTCGATAATGGATCATCTATTGACATTGTCAACTATCTTTCTTCTCTAGATGAATGGCTCCTAAATCGTGCTCTCTACCTGTGACTTTATTTCCAATGACCAGACCTTGTTTTCTGTCTGGGTGTGTACTTATGATCTCGAACTCAATATATCCAAACAGAACTCACCATCTTCCCTCAAAAACTGGTTCCCTTTTTCAACTTTGCTATTTCTGTTAAAAATACCACCATCCTTCCAAGTTCAAAAGTTGTCTTTGACTAATTTTGCTTCCCATTTCCCCAATCTGTCACCAATTCTGCTGATAGATCCTTTATAATCTCTCCATCTTTTTATTTCAGTTATTCATCTGAGCCGTGCAAACACTTATCTGCACCTGGAGTATTCTAGGTGTTTGAAAGACAGAAGATTGAGCCCTCCTTTACAATCTAATTTTAATAATAAATAAGCAAACCAATAATTATAATGCAGAGTGATAAATGTTAAAATAGAGGAATTTTTTTCATATCCGAATGACTGCAATAGCTTTGAAACTGGTTTAACTGCTCCTAGTCTCTTCTCCCATAGTGTCACTTTCAGCTGTCTTCCTAAAAACCAATTTTGATCATATCTTTTTCTTGCTCACGAATCTTTAATTCTTCTCTCTGGTTTTCCGGATAAAACTGTCGCTCATTAGCCTGTCATGAAAGATCCTACACAGTGAGCCCCCAAATGTTATCTCTCATTACTTCTTTACATGAACTCTCCTTTCCTTTCAAGTCAGTTTACTCACTGGACCTGTAAATAATTTAATATTCTCATGACACTGCTTTCATATAGAAAACCCCACCATTCCATAAAAATCTATTCTATCTTTTAAGATTCAGGTTAAATCCCATCTCTGTAAGGCAATCTTCAATGTTCTTAATCAAAAGTGATGTCTCCTTTCTTCAAACTCCCACAGTAATTTTTGCCTTATTTTATTTTCTCCATTGTCATCTTTAATTATCATTTAATCTTTCTCATTTAACTCTTACATAGTTCATGTTTTCTCCCCAGCCAAACTCTATGCATCACACAAGCAGTTTTATCTTATACTTCTTTGTATCCAGCCACAGCACCTAGCAGTGTCTTGAACATCACATTGGGCAAAATTTGAAACAGGGGCAGGGGTTTGAAAAGCTGAGTTTGGAAAGCTGAGTTTGGACACTGCTGATAGAAGAAACAGCATGTGTAAAGGTGGGAAAGCTTGTTCCTACCTTGAAGAAAAATGTTTGTTCAAGAGACAGAAAGTTAACCAATTTGGTTGAAATGGAGGTTTGGGGGTTTTTGCCCCCCAAAATGAATAGTGGAATGTCATGTGGAAGAGCCAGAATAAGTTCCACACTAAGACATTTTGACTTTATCTGTAGGTGATGAAGAGAACATAGAGGGGTTTTGGACAGAATAAAAAACAGAACACAGTTTTATGAAGTTTCATCGAGTCAGCAGTGTGCTACATTACTGGGAAGGCCTGAACGTTAGTTGAGTGGTTATCCTCCAGAGGGAAGTAGTAGAAAGTACTACCAGCACAAAGTACTTTGCTTGCATCTTCCCTTCTAGACAGAAATCTGCCTTAAAATTCCTTTTGGCAAAGAAAGCATTAAAAGCAAAGAAAGTTTGACAGGTTCCTTGATATAATGTCTCTTGGTTCTACTCATCCTAGATACACCATGAAGTAGGTTCAGTTTTTATTTTTCCGCTGGCATCCTCATCGGGAAAAGCATGTTGTCATTAATGGTAACTGTATTAGCAAATACCACAAAGGCATTGCTTAATCTTCGAGCTATCACTATCTACATCTGAGATAGTTTTGTTCCTAGTTCCTCTGGAGGAGCTTAGTAAATTCCTACTTATCCACTGATGGAAATGTTTGCTACCTACAGTCAGGAGAGAGCCTCATTCCTAAAAATAAGACTTGCTGACATCAAGGCTTAGCCCTGCCACAGCAGAGCATGGGATACATAACTGTCTATTAACTCAGCAACTAAACTTGTTATAGCCCTTCAGCACAATCACAACTCTGACTTATCTATGTTTTATATATTATACATGCTAAGGTTTCCTTCCATTAGGTGGACAATTGGGAATTAACTACCTAAAAGTCAATGTAGTAATTTATGTAAATTTCCATTTTCCTTCAAAGCAAGTTCTAACATTCCTTGTCACCTCTATCTGTGGATAACTGGGAATTCACTAACTCTTCTATAATCAGAGGACAGGAAAAGGGGTGGGCAGGTGCACCACTGTAGTACTTATTTGCTCAGCTCTATTTATTTGATCAAATTCTTTTTAGCCATAGTGAAATAAGAGCAAAAAAAAAAAAAAAAAAAGAGAGAGAGAAGTAACCTTGTGTCTGGATTACTAGAATTCATAAAGATCAAGGAAAAGATGTTTAATGATGATTCTGCCTTCCTTTTCTATGATGTGGTAGGATCTAAGTAGTTGGTTTTACTTAGAGAAATTTGAATTTTCTTCACTGATGTTTCCCTATACGTATGTGTGCATGTGTTGGGGGATGGAAATGGGAAGCAAATAGAATGAAAAGGCTTCGGAAAATTGAAGACTTAAGAGGTACATGTATTTCTTAAAGTCGTCCAAATGCCCAAGATAAATAAGGCTCTGATAAACAAATTAAAAGTAATATTAATATCTAAATATATCTACCTGAGTATAGAGTTAGAAAAGACCTGGATAGGATGACTGTTTTTGTCTAAATGGCATGAAAAACGAAATCATTTATGGAATGTTAAGATTGACAACAGTACTTAATTAAATAAAACAAAGAGAAACTTATGCTAAGTATAAGAAAGATTTACAAATAGTAGAGATATCTTTTGGACTAGCAGAAGACTATTCATAGTCATAGAAAATATTCATGAGGAATACATCAGAAGATCAACAGAATTCTGCCCATTTATAATAAAAGTATACCTATACTTAAGCAAACACATTATTATAAAAAAGATAAATTTGAAGGTTATTATTAATCTAATAAAAGTATTCATAAATAGGATTTTTTTTTGTAAGTATCAAGCTCTCCTATCACATTTAAAATACAATTGGATTTACAACCTAACTTTTGTAGGAATTTGTTTATTATATCAATAACTCCATGATCAACAATTGCCTTACTTAGAAATTTATTAGAAAATATTTGTAAATGCAAAGTTAAAGTAATGGCTGGTCCATGTGTCCTATTTTATATGCTCAGTAGAAATCATATATGAGCATTACAAGTATTTTATACCTTGTATAAAAGCTACTTCTTGATTCATATGATAGCTTTTCATACACACAAAGCCTACTCCCACTGTCATACAGCAAACCTCACCATCACTGTATTGAAAGTACAGTAAAACAATAATATATTTTGGCTAGTAGAAGTTGTCTAAATACGACGAACAACTGGCCAGATGACATGGGAAGCCTTCTATGGAGCTAGCACTCTTTGTTAAAGCAAAGCAAACTGTCTCATTTCTCATAGCCAGTGTTGGTGGAACCATTTCTATAGACATAAACAAAACTTGGAAAGCGAATGACTTAAACATATTCTCTTAATTCCTCTTTCCCCTTTTACAAATACAAAAGTGGATTTAGGAAATTTGGGGTCTTATTTCCCAAAGTAAGAAAAGTTTGGACAACAAAGGGTTAAAAGAACAAGGGAGCCCTACCGTACCCAGAAATGACAGAAGGCTCTTCTCCTCTTCGGTGCTACTATCCAACCACTCCGCCACATCACCGGGGGAAAGGAGACTCATTCTCCAGCCAGAAAACTTTTCCATACAGAGCACAATTACTGAATGATGAAGTGGGAAAAGAAGGATATGGAGGCTAAATTCTTGGGGGTCCGACACTTAAATTGCTGGCTAGGCTGTAATGATGAAAGAGAAAATGTGATCCTTCCTCCACTCTGAATTCTGTCTCTGTGACATCAATCTAATACAACGGGGGAGGGGGAAAATAGAGAGGGTTAAAAGAGGGTGGTAGAAGAGAAGGGAAGAAAGATTTGTCCTTCTGTCTCTCGGTGTTAAGCTTTAGCCTGAAAGAGAAAGCCAGGATAAAACTGAATAATGATTTATGTTTAACAACAGGAGAAAGCATAGGAAAATAAAGAATAAAGACACTCAAAGAAAAAGAAACAGGTTCCTACACTGGAAGCAATTTAGATAACCAAACAATAGCTAATCAGTTAAGTAAAAGCATATCATCAAACAAAAACAAAGACAAAAGAACAAATTCAGCATTTTGTTTTGTTCTGAGGAGAAAGGTTTTCAAATTTCCTTTCAGTCATCTGCAAGAACTGCAGCCCCCCAACCCCTTCCTGTTTTAGCTATTTCGACAGCATCCCAGCCCCCTTTATGAAGATTTCCTGCGAGCAGAGGCAGGTTGATAAATCTGTGAATAGGAAGCTCTCATCCCTCCTTTCTTCTCCTCCTCCTCCATTCCTCCCCCCACCTCACATGGCGACTGCATTGATCGACAATAATGGAATCTGTAAGTGACTGCCAACAGCAACATTAAGGATATTACAAGTCCACTTCATAAGAATTCGAGCTGGTGGTCGGAACTTGGGGCAATTCTGGGCTTCTAGTCAATAGCTCTGTCTTTCTTTGCAGAAAGAAAAGGAAGTGTGTGTGTGTGCGTGTGTGTGCGTGCGTGTGTATGTAAAGGAAAGAAGGCTGGAAATCTGAAAGTAACAGAAGTAACCTCGTTGGGCTGAGGGTTCAGAGATTGATCAACATAGTGAATGACTGACTATTCTCCAACTCCTGTCTCACTTACACTGTCAATGTAAAAGAGTCAGACCCAGATAAAATTTTTATATGATTTATATTACATGTTTACATGGTTTGATTTAAGATTTCACAGGTTTATACCTTATTAACAGGCAGAGAGAAATCAAGCAGAAGAGGTATGTTCAGAGACCCATAAATCACTAATATCCCTGTTCTCTGGAGATTGACTGGGCTTGTCACTACAAGAAAGCAATACTCTAAATAAAAAGACAGAGTTTTCCCCCTGCATTAGCAAAATATTATCTCTTTTCCTAATAATCTAGTCTTTCCTTCTATTCTGGTAGTCTGCCTTCAGTGAGAGATTCTTATTCCTTAAGAGTTACTACGTCTTTTATATATCCTCAATCCATGCCCTTCTCTCCATATTTACTTTAGCCTTCCTTATTTATCATGGAGACTCTAGTTTACTTTGACTATAAGTTCCCTGAGGACGTGGACCTTGTCTTATATTAATCTTTGTAATCTTAGTGGCTAGAGCAGTGCACTCAGAAGGAGCTCACTACATATTTACTGAAATTTTAGTTGGTTGCTTTCTCTAAAAGTTTTAATAGCTTCAACATAGGCAGGAGATCCTAGGCTGAATATTTTAGAACCTCTTGTTAAAATTAACCACTCTGACAGTTACTTAAAAGTTGTTGTAGCTATAGTACCACATGATTGAGAAGATACAAAATGTCAAAAAAGGGTATTATGAATTCATAATATATTTAAATGAATATCTATTTTCTTTCTCAAAATAAGTACATAAAAATGAAAAGTAGTGATAAATAGGTGTAAAAGACATTTTATTGAAATCCACAGGTTACGCTTGCTTAGCATCTAAGCATTGACTGATAATCCTTTTGCAATAACTTCATGACACACTAGTATCTCTGGAGCTCCCAGGCTGGAAACCACTAGAGGTGGTCTAGAGGATCGGGTTCAAACTTCTCACACATCAGGTGTGAAGTGTGCTTTTTTCCTTCGTAGGGAGCCCAAGACTCCTCTTGGCTTAGTAATGTTGCACTATTTACCTCACTTCCTTGCCTTTGCATGTTCCTTTGAATGTGGCAGGAAAAATTTGTTTTGTTCATTTGTGTATCCCCACTATCTAGAACATTATCTGGCACACAGAAAGTGCTCAAAGATTTTTGTTGAATGACTGTGGTACATCCTGTGAAGTACCTGACAATATCAAACTGATCCACTGAGATTCAACTCAAATATCACCACCTCTCCAGGTCTCCCTGACACCTTAAGGCAGAGATAATAGCTCTCATATCCATACTTTCATTGTTAATACTCCTATTACTTTATTGAAATAGCTTGTTTACATAGTGGTTTCCTCCACTATACCTCATGCCTTTAGAAAGCCATCTACAGAAAAAGTTTGTTTGCTTACCCCTGCCTAAATTGGTCTTTTTGGGATATAGAATAGAATAGTAGGGCCAGATAGTAAATATTTTAGGCTTTGTGTATCATATGGTCTCTGTCGCAGCTATTTTAACTCCACTGTTGTAGCACAAAAGTAGTCATAGACAACACTTAGACAAGTGGGCATGGTTGTGTTTCAATAAAACTTTATTTATAAAAAAAAGGCCGTGGGCCTTACTTTAATGACGCCTGATTGAGAGCAGCACTGCCAATTCAGCCAACAATTTTTGAGTACATAATACATGCTTGGATATCTACCAGGTTCTTATGACTGAAAAATAAAATACTTATTATTTGTCTGGGTCAAATAAAGTTTTATTTTCATTTTAATAAGTGAATGATTATCTTTATTACTTTACTTTTAAGACACAAAAACAAATTATTGCTTTCCTCCTGATCTCTTTGTCTCATGGGCCTGTAAAAAACTTAATTTTTCTTTCTTTCTTTCTTTTTTTTTTGTGACTGGTAAGGGGATCATAACCCTTGGCGTGGTGTTGCCCGCACTGCACTCAGCCAGTGAGCGCACCGGCCATCCCTATAAGGGATATGAACCCGCGGCCTCGGCGCTCCCAGTGCCGCACTCCCCTGAGTGAGCCATGGGGCCGGCCCCAAAACTTAATTTTTCTTTGAATAAAGAATATAAAATATGTAACCCCCTCTTTAATTACTTAGTATTCCTGATTTTCATTATGGCTGCTTGAACTTTCAGATTCATTTATTTAACTGCATTAGTGATAATATGTGCCAAGCACTATTTTAAGCCCTGGAAAATAGTTGCAAACAAATGAGACAAAATCTCTGCCTTCATGGAGTTTATATTCTGTGGGGAAGAGTATAAAATAAACAAGATAAAAAGTAAAATATAAAAAAATAAAATTAAAAAAAAAAGTAAAATATATGTTGTGTTAGATAGTGAATAACACCAAAGAAAAGAGCAGAGCAAGAAAGGGGGGTATGTAATGTTGGGGAGGTCTACAAATTTAGAGCATAGCCAGGGACATTATTAAATAGTGTCTCTCAAATTTTTGATGGATTTCGATTGAACTTATTAACATTCACTAATACACTTTGTGATAAAGGATGGAAGTAAGAATAACTAGTTTTCAAAAAGGCAACTAAAGGATAGGTGAAGTGTTTGCATTTCTGTCTAGACATTCTTTTGGATATGTACAACATTTTTCTTCAAAGAAACTTAAAAGTAAATGTCAAACTATAACTTTCCTTATATTTTGATGAGGAGATACTTTACTCTATGCAAATAAAGTCAAATCTTCTGAAATCTATAGTTCAACACTTTAAATAGTACCCTATATAGAGAGAGACCTCAAACTACTTGCATATAAATTATATATCAATGAATGCACTCCCATACTGTTTTCACTTGCCAGACATGTTTACCTTATATGATTAGAGATGATGAAACTAATGAAGCTAAGCTAAATTTCCACTTATTTGGATTTAGGAAGCAACATTTTCAACATGCAAAGCCACAGAATAATATATTTGTATTAAAAGAGGTATTCCCATTATATGATTATTTAATATTATACATAGAAGGTGTTTTGATATCCTCCAGTGAAAAGACGTATCAAAATGTAAAGTAGTAAAAATGAAAAAAATAGTAAGGTAGTGACATTATTATAAAACAGGTGTGCTCAAAAGAAATGTGTTATTCAAAGACTAATGGAAGATTCTGTTTAAGGAAGTTGATGACTGTCTCGAATAAAAGATAATTAGATTCCTTAAACACTAAAGCTATTCTTTCAAGGAAAAAAAAGTGTAAATAAAGTGACAGCTGTAGTCAGTGAACAGATAACTCCTTCTTAAAAAGACCCAGAAAGTGGCTAATGTACAATTATTCTTGAAAGAAATTTTTTCCCTAAAGTTAAATTTTACAATTAATTTGATTCAAAGTATATGCAATTCTTACAGTCTATCATTTAGCACCTAACTCAGTATCAAGCAAATAGCAGCTACTTAATATCTGAGTGAGTGGGTAGATACATGGATAAACCTAACACATCTAAGATTATCACTCCTCTGTAAGTAAATTGAAAATCATTAGAGTAATATCTCCTCTAATAGGTCACTATACCCAGCAATAATTTGAATACTTGATCAATAGTAATAATCATAGATCAAATAGTAATAATCATAGATCAAATCAAACATTTACAACATTTACAATGTACTAGGTAGTACATGAAGTGCTCTACACGTTTAACTTCATTTACTCCTCGTAACAACACTGTGAGGTTGTAGTAACATTTTCCCTTTTTTATAGATGGGAAAACTAAAGTTCAGAGAAAACTAAGGTAAAGAGAAGTACTCATACAGCATGTATTGGAGAGGAAGGACAGGACTTGATTATTCTTATTCCAGACTTGACACTCTAAACCACTTTCCATATTAAGAGTTTCTTTCTATAACATTTTTAGATATTTGGGGCGAGGTATGAAGAATGAAGGTGAACAGTCATTAAGTGGGAGTGAAATTATTTTCCTTGATCAATGATCTAAGATACCACCAC